TGTTAATGGTTTGGAACAATAAATATCATCAAAAATGTCCATTCTCCCAAAAGCAATTTATAAATTCAATGTGATACCAATCAAAATTCCAAAGACATTTTTCAGATCTGTGAAAAATGATGGTGAAATTCAATGGAGACACAGGAAACCTCGACTAGCTAAAGCAATTTTGTACAACAAAAACAAAGCCGGAGGCATCACAATACCAGATTTCAGGACATACTACAGGGCAGTTGTAATCAAAACAGCATGGTACTGGTACAGCAAGGGGTGTATAGACCAGTGGAACAGAATAGAATCACCAGAAATCAATCCAAACATCTATAGCCAACTTACATATGATCAAGGATCTAAAACCATTTCCTGGAGCAAGGACAGTCTATTCAACAAATGGTGCTTGGAAAACTGGATTTCCACATGCAGAAGCATGAAGCAAGAGTCCTACCTTTCACTTAACACAAAAATCCACTCAACATGGATTAAAAATCTAAGTCTACGACCAGACACTGTCAAATTATTAGAGAACATTGGCGAAACCATGCAAGATATAGGTACTGGCAAAGACTTCTTGGAAACTACCCCATAAGCACAGCCAGGCAAAGCCAAAATTAACAATTGGGATTACACCAAATTGAGAAATTTCTGTACTGCAAAAGAAACAGTCAGGAGAGTGAAGAGGCAACCAACAGAATGGGAAAAACTATTTGCAAACTATGCAACAGATAAAGGATTAAAAACCAGAACTAGAATCTACAAAGAGATCAAGAAACTCCACAACATCAAAACAAACAACCCACTCAAGAGATGGGCCAAGGGACTCAATAGATATTTTTCAAAAGAAGAAATCCAAATGGCCAACAGACACATGAAAAAATGTTCAAGAATTCAAGATCACAAGCAATCAGGAAAATGCAAATCAAAACCACAATGAGGTTTCACCTCACCCCGGTTAGAATGGATCACACTCAGACATCTACCAACAACAGATGCTGGAGAGGATGTGGGGAAAGGGACACTAACCCACTGTTGGTGGGAATGCAAACTGGTGAAGCCACTATGCAAGTCAGTCTGGAGATTCCTCAGAAACCTGAATATAGCCGTACCATACAACCCAGCCATCCCACTCCTTGGAATTTACCCAAAGGAAATTAAATTGGCAATTTAAAGGGCTGTCTTCCCCTTAATGTTTATTGCGGCTCAATTCACAATAGCTAAGACCTGGAACCAACCCAAATGCCCATCAACAGTAGACTGGATAAAGAAATTATGGGACATGTACTCTTTAGAATAGTATACAGCAGTCAAAAACAATGAAATCCGGTCATTTGCAACAAAATGGAGGAATCTGGAACACATCATGCTGAGTGAAATAAGCCAGTCCCAAAGGGACAAATATCATATGTTTTCCCTGATTGTTGACAACTAACCAAGCACCAAAAAGGAAACCTGTTCAAGTGAAATGGACACTATGGGAAACAATGACTTGATCAGCCATTGTCCTGAATGTCGAGGAACAACTTAATACTTTATTTCTGTTAGTATTTTTTGTTCTACTTAATACTACTAAAAAGTGATCCCTGTTAAATAGAAGAGTGGGAATAAGAGAGGGAGGAGATGTACTGTTTATCACATGCTCAATCGGACTTGCCCCAAACGGTTGAGGTAGATACATGCCTAGGGAATCCAATTCCTTCCCATCAAGGTGGCATGTACCAATGCCATTTCACTAGTCAAAGTGATCAGTTTTAGTTCATAATTGATCATAATGATAGGTCTAAGAGTCAAAGGGATCACATAAACAAGACTAGTGTCTGCTAATACTAACTGATAGAATTAAAAAGGAGAGAACGATCCAACATGGGAAGCGGGATACACAGCAGACTCATAAAATGGCAGATGTCCTAAATCACACTCTGGAATCAGAATCAGCCTTTAAAGCATTTTGAATTGGCTAAAAAGCCCATGAGAGTATTTCAGGCATGGAAAGCCAAAACATTGTGGCAAAAAAAAAAAAGACCTAAATGAAGGATCTCTGTGAGTGAGATCCCAGTGGAAAGAATGGGCCATCAAAGAAGGAGGTACCTTTCTCAAGGGAAGAGAGAACTTCCACTTTGACAATGATTTTGTCTAAGTAAGATCGGAGTTGGCGAAATCAAAATAGCCTTTGCAACTCATGACAAGAGCCTTGGGTGATTACTGATGAATAAACAAGATTGAAGAGTGTCAATTTATAAATCAACAACAGGAGTCACTGTGCACTTTCTCCCCATGTAGGATCTCTGTCCTTAATGGGTTGTACTATGTTAATCAATGGTATAACTAGTAATCAAACAGTACTTTACACTTTTTGTTTCTGTGTGAGTGCAAACTGTTGAAATCTTTACTTAATATATACTAAATTGATCTTTTGTATATAAAGATAATTGAAAATGAATCTTGATGTGAATGGGATGGGAGAGGGAGTGGGAGTTGGGAGGGTTGCGGGTGGGAGGGAAGTTATGGGGAGGGGAAAGCCACTGTAACCCAAAGGCTGTTCTTTGGAAATTTATATTTATTAAATAAAAGTTTAAAAAAGCTATGTATGAATTTCAATTTTTTCACCAAATAAACATTTTTAAGAAAGCTTTTCAATTTTTTAAATTTCAAAGATATAGCTTTTGGAATATGGTGTCTCTTCCACCCATATTTTCCTCCCACCCTCATACAGTCCCACCTCCTACTCCATCTCCCATCCCATTCCTCATTAGGAATCATTTTTAATTATTTTTATATGCAGAAGATCAACTCTATCCTAAGTTAAGATTTCAACAATTTGCACTCACACAAACACATAAAATACAAAGTACTGTTGTTTGATGTTCAGTTTTATGTTAATTCTCAGAGTACAACACTTAAGGACAGAAGTCCTCCAATAGGAGTAAGTGCACAGTGACTCCTGTTGTTGATTTAACAATTGACAGTCCTACTTATGACATCAGTGATCACCCAAGGCTCTTGTCATGAGCTTCCAATACTATGGAAGCCTCTTGATTCCACACACTCTGTCAGCATTTAGACAGTGCCATAAGCAAAGTGGAAGTTTTCTCTTCACTCTAGAGAAAAGTGCATCCTTCTTTGATGGCCCCTTATTTCCCATGGGATCTCACTTACAGAGATCCTTCATGTAGATCATCTTTTAATTACATTTAATTGAAAAACTTTTTAGAGTACTCTTGTTTTTTGTTCTTGTTGGGTTTTTTTTGTTGTTGTTTTTTTTTTTTTTTTTGACAGGCAGAGTGGAGAGTGAGAGAGAGAGAGAGAGAGAAAGGTTTTCCTTTGCCGTTGGTTTACCCTCCAATGGCCGCCGCGGCCAGCCAGCGCGCTGCGGCTGGCGCACAGCACTGATTCGAAGCCAGGATCCAGGTGCTTCTCCTGGTCTCCCATGAGGTACAGGGCCCAAGGACCTGGGCCATCCTCCACTGTACTCCTGGGCCACAGCAGAGAGCTGGCCTGGAAGAGGGGCAACCGGGACAGAATCCGGCACCCCGACCGGGACTAGAACCTGGTGTGCCAGCACCGCAAGGCAGAGGATTAGCCTATTGAGCCGCGGCACTGGCCCTAGAGTACTCTTGTAAAATTAAATATCATTCAGCATTAAGAAAGAGATCCTGGCATGTGTAAAGTATACTTGGACTTGAAAGACATAATTATGGGGCCAGTGCTATGGCTTAGCAGGTACAGCCACCACCTACAGTGCCAGTATGCTTTATGGACCCCAGTTCATGTCCCGGGTACTCCACTTCCAATCCAGTTCTCTGCTATGGCCTGAGAAGGCAGTAAAAGATGGCCCAAGACCTTGGGCCCCTGTACCTGCATGGGAGACCCAGAAGAAACTCCTGACTCCTGGCTTCGTATTGGTGCAGCTCTATACTACATATTTAGATAATTATTTTGAGAATTTTGATTATATAAGTTAAATGAGATTAATATATAGGAAGATATAGAGTTCATGCAATATTTTATTCTTACAGTTTTAATATTGATATAGTTATAATATTTAAGATTCCTGAGGAGAGAATATAAAAGCTAAGAGAAATAATTGATGATTCCCCATACCACGTAGGTCAGTATAGGATTGATGGAAGAGAATATATGTTGTTCTCTACAGAGGAAGAGGTTATGCTAATAAAACTGAGAGGGAGAAGTAATGGAGACATCCTAAATTAGATACAAATTTTTATATTTTGTTATAATAATCAGACAGTTCCTCTCTGATGGATTCTAGTTATTATTACTTTGATTTTCTAAGTGAGAACACAGTACTTTATTGAGAACAAGGAAGAGTAGAAATTAAAGTTATAGTAAGTGGGCTCTTTTAAAGTTTTATAGACAAAATTAAGGGAATGTAGATAGTTCGAAAAGTATGGGAAATAGTGTTGACATCCAAGTTGTGAAAGATACAAGTATATAAGGTACCAGTGTGATCATCTGTATGATTTTATAGCATGTTAAGCTGTTAGTGTGAGCAGCAGATAGAATCATCCATATTTGGGTCTTGATAAGAAGATGTCGCAGAAGAACAAGGACAGGGCTTTCATTTACTAGTAAGGAAATATTTGAAGTTATTAACCATTATTATTTAAGTAGGAAAGGATGGGAATTGCAGTCATGAGAGACTGACAGACCAGGAAAAAAATGAAAGTCTAATGAGATGTAAGCACTGGATGAGTAGAAAAGTGAACTATGCAGGTCAGGACATTAAACCTCCTGTTTCACTTTAATATTCAACTGTGGAAGTCTGCTGCTATCCTGAAAAAGAGTGTGTGCCAATTAGAGTTAGATCTCATAATAAAACACACAAAAATACACAAATGGCTTAAAGATAAAGTTTTATTATCCAAAGAAAAGATGTTTTGTGTTAAACAAGAGTAGATACAATAACTTGTCAAAATCATACTAACTTTATGTAATCATGTTTTATTTCATGCTCAATAATATGCTTCAAGTAAATATCCATCATGTCATATCGAGCCAGGAGAAAAAGTAAACAGCATAGAAAGACATACCATTTCCCTTTAAAGGCAAATCTTGGAAATCACATTGCACAATTCAACATATATTAAACTGGCCAACATCTAGTCACATGCAACCGAGGAGTTAGGAAATCTAATTTTTAAACCAGGCTGTCTCAGGTCAAGAGATCTATTAATAAGGGAGAAAAAAAGTGAATATAATGCAAAATCAGAATCTGTGCCCCTCAGCTTCATTTTGACAATTAACAAATAAGGAAAAACAAAAATGCAATTTTTGGATTGTTAGGTAGAATTGCAATCAACATTAGGACTCTCATTTTGTGATCAGGGTACACTTCTGAATTACAACATCACTCTGTTCTCCTTCAGTGGACAATGGTCAAGGTGCCTGAGTCAGAGTTCCAAAGCCTGAAAAGAGGTCTTAAGGCACCTTGGAACAAAATCTGGGTAAAGGTGAAAATATGGGACCCATCTGTCATGTTATAGAATGACACATCTCCATCTTCATAATCTAGGAATATCCCCACCCTACAGGGGGACACTCTCAGAGTAAGATGAGTTTCTGGGGAAGTGAGAGCCCAGTACTCCTCCTCATAAAGCCTGATGGCCCAGAAACCATTTTGTGGGGATATTGTGACTTGCCCCTTCCTTGTTACATTGTCCCTACAGATTCCCAGATCACAGGAAGCTGTATCCCCAATATCTACCTCCCAGTAGTATCTCCCCGAGGTGATACTCAGCTGACCCAGCACACAGGGAAGGGAATGAAATCTCTGTGGGGAGTCAGGTAGATCTTGCCACACTTCTTGCCATGTTACACGTCTCTGTTCAGACAGGAAGAGTGCAGGATGGGCAGTTTCTGCATCCAGGGTCATGTTTACTGCAAAGACAAGAGAATCATCATCATCTAACTAGGGAAAATCTCAGTAGTCTGGGGCTAGAGAAACTATTCTGTGAGAGCTTCTCTGGCCCAAGGTGAATTCTGCTAACCTCTACCCATCTTTGTGTGAGACTACTCATAAAGATGTGGATCCCTGTACACCATCATAGACTCACCAGCCTGGAACTCTTCTTTCCTCCAATCTGCAAGAAATATATCAAAATAAGAACCGCCATCTGAGAAAAAAAGCTACCTGACCATTTAGAGTATGAATTCCCCAGGTTTAGTTTAAAATAATAGCAACTGAACAAAATTCTATTTATATCCTTGCCCTTCATTTTATAGCCTGCCAAATTATGTCAGATTTAAGGACCTGACCTATGCCAATTATTTCCTCATTTAAAAATTATTCAAGTAATAGTCTTTGGTCTATTTATGGTGAATTTGACTTGAAAATTTTTGTTTTGTTTTCTTTCTTCACAAATTAGTATCTAGTTACTATTCTGTCTTCTCTCAAATATAAGGTGATACTCAAATTTAAAAATATTAAAATTTAATGTTTCAGTCACATTATGTGTTAACAACATGGGAAGTGAGATACACAGCAGACACATAGAATGGCAGATGTCCTAAATAGCACTCTGGCCTCAGAATCAGCCCTAAAGGCACTCGGATCCAGCTGAAAAGCCCATGAGAGTATTTCAGGCATGGAAAGCCAAGACACTCTGGGGAAAAAAAAAAACTAAATGAAAGATCTTCACTAGTGAGATCCCAGTGGAAAGAATGTGTCATCAAAGAAGGAGGTACCTTTCTCTGAAGGGAGGAGAGAACTTCCACTTTGACCATGGCCTTGTCTAAATATGATCAGAGTCGCTGAACTCAAAAGGCTTCCTTAGCCTTGGCAGCTCATGACAAGAGCCTAGGGTGATTACTGATGCCATAAACAAGAGTGTCAATTTGTTAAGTCAACAACAGGAGTCACTGTGCACTTACTCCTCATGTAGGATCTTTGTCCTTAGTGTGCTGTACATTGAGATTTAATGCTATAACTAGTACTCAAGCAGTATTTTTCACTTTATGTTTCTGTGTGGGAGCAAACTGTTGAAATCTTTACTTAATGTATGCTAAACTGATCTTCTGTATATAAAGAGAAACGAAAATGAATCTTGATGTGAATGGAAGGGGAGAGGGAGTGGGAAAGGGGAGGGTTGTGGGTGGGAGGTTCGTTATGGGGGGGAAGCCATTGTAATCCATAAGCTGTACTTTGGAAATTTATATTCATTAAATAAAAGTTAAAAAAAATTTAAGTTTATTTAAAAGGTAAAATTATGTGGTTGAAGAGAGAAACACACACATACGCACACATATACAGAGAGAGAGAGAGAGAGAGAGAGAGCGCTTTTCTATCTACTACAGTGACTGAGGATGGGCTAGGCTGAAACCAGGAGCCCAGTACTCGATGCACGTCTCCCATGAGGGAGGTGGGAAACAAAACTTGGGCCAAAACCTGAACCTTCCCAGTTGTATCACTATGAAGCTGGATTGGAAACAGAGGAACTTGAAATCATATCAGCACTCCAGTGTCAGATGCAGCTGTCACAAGCCATAGCTAAAGTTCTGTGCCAAAATACACACCCCAATGTGTAGTATGTTATGAGAGATATGATTTGGATTTCTTTTCCTTTGTAATGTTTTGTATATTGAAGATGTTCATTTATAGTATCTTCAATAATGGGTTACTTTTTCAACTGTTATTTAATAAATATAAATTTCCAAAATGCAATTTTTGGATTATAATGGCTTTTCCCCATATAACCTACCTCCCACCCATAACCATCCCATCTCCCACTCCCTCTCCCATCCCATTCTTCACCGCGATTCATTTTCAATTATCTTTATCTACAGAAGATCAACTCTATACTAAGTAAAGATTTCAACAGCTGCACCCACAAAACAAAACAAAGTATAGAGTACTGTTTGAGTAGTAGTTTTACCGTTAATTCACAAAGTACTTCACATTATGGACAGAGATCCTACATGGGAATTAAGTGCACAATGGCACCTGTTGTTCATTTAACAACTGACACTCTTAATTATGATGTCAGTAATCAACCTGTAGCTCTTGTCATGAGCTGCCAAGGCTATGGAAGTCTCTTGAGTTCACAAACTCTGATCTTATTTAGACAAGCTATAGTCAAAGTGGAAGTTCTCTCCTCCCTTCAGAGAAAGGTACCTCCTTCTTTGATGGCCTATTCTTTCCACTCGGATTGCACTCACAGAGGTCTTTCATTTAGGTCATTTTTTGCCAGTGTCTTGGCTTTCCATATCTGAAATACTCTCATGGGCTTTTTAGCCATATCCAAATGCCTTAAGGGCTGATTCTGAGGCCAGAGTGCTGTTGAGGGCATTTGCAATTCTATGAGTCTGCTGTGTATCCCGTTTCCCATGTAGGATCACTCTCTCCTGTTAATTCTATCAATTATTATTTGGAGACACTGGTCTTATTTATGTAATCCCTTTGACACTATCTTTTTGAACAATTATGAACTTAAACTAATCACTTTAACAAGTAAAATAGAACTGATGCATGCCACCTTGATGGGATTGAATTGGAATCCCCTGGCACGTTTCTAGCTCTACCATTAGGGGTAAGTCTGAGCATGTGCCGAACTGCACCTCTCCTCCCTCTCTTATTCCCATTCTTATATTTAACAGGGATAACTTTTCAGTTAAATTTAAACACATAAGAATAATTGTGTGTTAATTAAAGAGTTCAACAAATGGTTAAGTAGAACAAAAAATATTAAAAGAAATAAAATAGTAAGTTGCAATGGGTTATTTTTAGAAACCAAGTCACTCACCAGGGTATAACGCTATTTTCCTCCAGTCTGCAAGAGAAGAAAACAGGAAACCCTTTACTTTTTTTCCTTCTAAGTCTTCTCTCATTACCCTTCTCATTTACCCTTTTTTTCTCTTATTTTCTCCTGTACATCTTTTGTACTTTAATTTTCTGACCTATAATCTGACATTTAAAATTTCAAAGACACGATGAGGAAAATGATCAAGTGGAAGAAGTGTAGAAACATAAAAGCAATAAAAGGAAGAAGCCTGAAGGTGGGAGCATGAAATGCAGCAAAGAAAAAAGAGTGAAGGGTGCAGGGAAGGGTGTAAAGAAAGCTGAGTCACAATGACTTTGTGTCTTCTGGATACATACAAAGTAGTGTGCTTGCTGGCTCCTACGGTGTCTCTAAAGCCATGCACTCTAGTCTTGCTGGTAAAATCACTGCCATGGGGTTGGAGAGTAATAATTCAGAACTTCTTCATAGCTTGAGTCTCCAGAGTCTGTCTGCTGTAAAACTGGTGGAGCTGTAGCTGTACCACAAGCCCTTCAACTAAAGCAGCTGCCCGGAAAACAGTGAGCAGTGCCACTGGTGTTCCAATTGCTTAGAAATGATCAGGGACAATGCAAAGAAACTCATGCATCACCAGAGAAAAATATATAAGCATAAAAATTTAAATATTAAGAAGTAAACATTGTAAAATATGAAATTAATTTTAGAAAAGAGAAGAAATTTTGAACTCTATGTACCAAGCAATTGCCAGGTCTAGCAAGCATAATGCTAGTCCTAGATTACTAATTGATTTGAAAGCAACAATAACAAAAACAAAAACAGTAAAATATAAAGACAAATTAATGTTTTATAGACCCTGGAAAAAAGATTTTTCAGCAAAATAAAAAATGTACAGCACTCCTTTCTTTAAAGTTATAATTCTTTACTGTATAATAGCACAGAATGTCAGCTCTATTTTAAGGAACAGAAGTTATGACTGAGAAAGGAAACATAATTTGGATTATAAAATTCTTACTTTAATAAAATTCCTTAAACAGTGGAAAAAATTTGTCAAGATTGTGCCCCAAATTCTTCTTTGCCAAATAGGCATTTTTGTTGCATTTCTGTATCATAACCAATTACTATAGAGGTTAATATAGGGATTGAATCCAAAAGAGGCAGAGAAATGGAATTATTTTGAGAGAGAATGATTACTCACTGAACTTAAATTGAGCCTATTCTGAGAGAAGCAATGTCAGCATGCATCGTATAATTGCTATAGTACTTAGATATGGACTGATCCCATGGGAGATAAAGAAATGGAGGTTTCCAAGAGATAATAATTACTTACCAGACTTATATTGAGCCTTCCTCCTATCTGAGAGGAAAAAATACAAAACATCACTTCTTGAGATAAGTTTTGTTAATATTATGAAGAATACACAATCTAAACCATGTATCTGCCAGTGTTTGTGCCTGCAACACTGGACACATCTTATTCATTTCATTAGCAAAAAAAGAAAACTCTAAAGTATATTCCAAATGAATACCTCACTCCAATTGGAAGAAAACTGCCTGATATATGAGTGGTTAAATAAAAGATGCTTCAGAAATATTGTATGAAATGAAATGAAAACTTGTTTTATTTTTGGTGCAAAAAATTTTGAAATCTATGTACAATTTTTTCATGATTCACACTTTCAACACATTTTTTTGAGATTCCTTGAAATTCCTATAATGTGATACTAAAATTTGTAGAACTATCTTAAAAAACAAAGTCTTAGATTTTAAAGATATATTACCTGTGGGGAGCAAACCGGACTAGACTGAGTTACTGGAATTAAGACTTATTCTATGCATCTGCTCTCCCACAATATGGCGCTGGGAGAGAAGTAAACAGCTTCTACCCAGCTGCCTCTCACCAACTTGACAAGCTGCAGGGGCTGCTACTGATTGGAGGAGAGCAGCGTACTCGGCGTGTGGGCAGCCGAGTTAGGATTGGCGGAGGAGGACTATAAAGGAGGAGAGAGACGGCATGCACCGGGAACATCTAAGGGGAACATCTAGCTGAAGGAACACCTGTGCAGCCCCCGAGACAGCCGGCCGGCGGTGTGCCGCTCCCCTGCGGAAGTGGGGAATGTGGCCAGGGGGAACTGCCCTTCCACGGAGGTGGAAGGGATAGTAGCCAACCCGGGAAGAACCAGCAGCAAACCCGGGGAGGGCCGAGCAGACGAAAGAACAGCGCAGGGTTTAGTGTCGTTCCTCCACGAAGAGGGGGAGCGACAATTACCAATAAATTTACATGAATAATAATGCATACTAAGGTCATGAAAGAAGAACAATTTATAACTGAGTAAACTAAAAGGAAGAAGCAGTAGAGCAGTAACTATGGTTGAAAAGAGAAAATTGTCGGAAAAATCATGGAAAAATATTTAACATTTTTGACTATTTAAAAATATTGTCAAATGATATGGATCAGCAAGTCTCAAGACTACGCTTAATATTAGTTTATACAAACATTTAAAAGGCAAATAAAAGGAGGAATTTATTTCTCTCATACCCATAGTCTGATATCCATAGGTAAGAGTGAAGACATCATCATGTGAAAAAATAATGAACTCTCTACTAGAGAAGATGTGTTGTGGAACACAATTAAAGTAATTTTTCCATTGAGTGGAAACAGCTATTTTCCTCTTGACCTAATCATTTTCATCTCATGACCTTATAATAAACCTATATCAATTATCTCCAAGAGAGAAGAAGAAGGATATATAGCACAGAAAGGAATATAAATGAAAGTAAGAGAGTGAAGGAAATTTAATATGAGATAATTTCAGGAAGACAAAAAGAAAATACATAGCCTAATTTGAAATCCACAAGAAGGAAAAGCAAAGAGAGGATAGTGATGAAGTGAAGAGTAGAGATGGCAAAAAGATCTAAGAAATCTGTCAATAAGAAAAATAGTCAAAAAATTACCAATCTCTCCCTGAAGTTCTTCTGAAAAATAAAATGGAAAAACTCATATAAATGTCAAGGAACAACATAGATGTAGTTAGAGTATGTTATGTTAAGTGTAGTAAGTAGACACAGAATGACACATATCGTGTGCTTTCACATGTGAAATCATAAAAAACCAATATCATACAGTAGAAAGTTAATTACCAGCAGCTGAAGGGGAGAAGAAGGAAAAGGAAGAGGAATGAGATTGATCAAAATGTACAAAGTTTCAGTTAAATTGGAGGAATATGTTTTAGACTACATAATGACCACAGTTAATAACAATGTAAATTTAAAATTTCTCTTAAAGATATTTGATAATCTTACTGCAAAAATAAATTGATAACAGATATGCTAATTAGCCTGCTGAGTCCTTATACAATGTCAACATGAATCAAAACATTACATTGTAATCCATGAATATTTTAAAATTAAGATTTTGCACCTCAATAAAATTTCAAAATGTTAAGTGAAGGGACAATATGAACCAACAAAGAAAATGAAAATGAGTTAAATTTTCTAGTGTAAAGTATGAATTGGTAGAATAAATATAATTTATAGCATAAACATAGTCATGATAAAATCAACAAAGTGACAAGGAAGAACATTTCTAACTTAGAAACTTGAAAAAGTGGCATATTAGAAAAGCTGAAACAGGACAGAAGAATGTAAATGATGGAAAAGAAGAACTACCTAGGATTTATATCATACATACATACTTTATAGATAAAAGTATTGAAGTAATTTAACTAATCCAACACACATACACAGACATATGAATTGAAGGTATTCAAAAAGTGGAAAAATGGGATTAAAAGATGATACCTCTCTGTCTCTACCTCTCAAATAAAGATATAAATATGGCATTTAAAAAATGAATTAGGCATTTGGAGCAATCTCATATCAAAGAGTTTGGGTCCTGGCTCTACTTCTGAATCCAACTCCCTGCTAATGTGCACTGTAGGAAGCAGCCATGATTATTCAGTTATTGAGTCCTTGCTACCACATGGGAGACCCAGACTGAGTTTCTGGCTCCAGGTCTTTTTCCATCTCTCCCATCTTTTCTCTTAGGCTCTGATAACCTCCAAAGGCTTCTCAGAAGATATCACAAACAATAAGGGAACAGATTACTATAACATCTGGGCACAATATTTTTGCAAGATTCATGGTCTCTAATTCTTCCCATTTAATAAAATTTCATTAGGATTTAATTGAGTTGTCAGTTGACAGAACTTTTAAAATTATCTTTGATAAATAGTTATTCTGTAGTTTTTATTATTTATCTCAGGAGAAGTTCCAAAATCTGGTGACATTGTTTTAATTAAGGCCCTTCCTATTTTTATTATCTTACAAATAAAAACACAATTTGTTAGCCTATAAATATTTGATTAAAAAATAAGAAAATAAATGGAGTAAATCATTATACTTAGTGAAATAAATCATGATCAAAATGTTTGAAAACTGTGCTTGAAACTTCCTTATTCCATCTCTTCTCTAATACATGAATTTGGGCTTCAGGGATATTCCTTAAACCAGTACTAAAAAGATAGATACGATATGTTTTCACTGATCTGGGGTAACTAATATAGTACCTAAAATGTACTCTATTAGATCTAAACTGACATTTTGAGATTTGATGATTTTTTTGTAGCCTTTCTCTCACCTGTAGAGAAAGTGTTTTTTTTCTTTTTACTATTGGTTAAACTTTACTTAGCGAAGGTTTAACCTTATGAGTATAAAGTAAACTGAAAATAAATATTTGTAAAAATTAAGAGAGGGAATAGGAGAGGGAAGAAAAAGAAGGGTTGGGGCATGGGCAGGGGGAAGTTTAGAATGGGAAGTATCACTATGTTCCTAAATCTATACACATGAAATACATGAAACTTGCACACCTTAAATAAAGTTTAAAAAGCATTGATATAGGCCACTGACTCAATTGTTTCAGAGAAATAAAATTAAACAAGAAAGAATAAGAAAGGAAGGAGGAGGGAGTGTTGAGTGGAGCATTACCACTATGCTTGTAATCTGTATATATGAAATACATGAAATTTGTTCACCTTATATAAACAATACAAAATTAAGCATGTGTAAACCAAGTTAAAAGTGCTATGAAATTCATAATTACAATGAAAATGTATGTCACGCATTTTATGCACATAAAATAAAACTGATACTTTTATTTAAATAATAAACAAATAATTCACTGAGAAATTTATGATGAAGATTTTTGAGGTCATATTTAAGTTGTTTAAGGTAGACTTAGTTTTCCACAATTATTTTAAGAATTACATGAACAAAATGTTTGAAAACTGTGCTTTAAACTTTCTTATTCCATCTCTTTTAAATATATGAATTTAGGCTTCAGGGATATTCCTTAAATAGCTTATATATACTTTTGAAAATATGAGCTCATAATCTAAAATTCATAGATATTTTATTGTACATTGGCAATTTTTGCACTTTATAACACTTCAACTTTTTATATGATATTTAACTTTTATTGGCCCTACATTCTTAAAGAAATCCATTTTATTGTGTTATTTCTCCTTGATTCTTTTGTCATCTTTGCTGGATTCTTCAGAATATTCCTCTCTCTATGGAGGAAGAGTATAGTAAACAAAAAATAAAATGACTCTGGGTACAATTTTCTAAATGGAAAAAATATGATGCTGTTACCTCATATTCATTCCAGAGAGGAAAATCACATTATTCATTAACTAAATCACATGAAATGAAAATATGTATGAAGTAAATTCATCACAAACAAGTTTGGAAATTTTTTGTCATTTCTTAAGGTAAGGGAGGTGTAATGTGCAAAGTAATGGGCACTTATAGATTGGAATATCTGATAAAGTCCCTAAATCAAGAGAAGTTTTCCAGAAATTATATACATTAAATGGAAACTATGTGCCTTTTGGCTTAATGTGCATGATCTCACCAAAATCATAAACTTCAGAAGTATTTGTAATACAGAAATGGAAAATACATAAATGGAATACAGAATGGAAAAGATAAGGAAACAGAAATAGAGATAACATGAGGGAGGCCCATAACCAAAAAAAAATGAAGATGGAAGAATAGAAGTAGGTATCTGGAGAAGGGAGAGCTGAAGACATGTAAGAAAAGAGAGATGGAAAGTTAAAGACATCAAGAAATTAGTTATTTTAAAGTGATAGGGGATAAAGAGCTGTCATGGTACTGACCATTATGTCTCTGAAGTTCATCTGAAAATAAGATGGAAAAATAAATATAAATATTCTTGTAATGGAAAACAAGGTTAATAAAATTCCAACTTATGAAAAATGCAATGCAAAGTTAAAACTCGGGATATGGACACACACAAACACACACACACATATACACTCATACATGGTGCTGGAAAAGTGTTTTTGTTTAACTAATATGCTATACAGAATGAAATGAGAAAAGGAGAAAATTTGCTTCATTGACAAAAAATAGTAATATTATTTCTGATGGTTACTATATATTTTTATTTTCCTTTTATGTTATTTAAGCTTTCATTATTAGAGTTCTTATCTTCAACACTGTCTTGGTTTCAAGTAAATATATGATATTGATTCCCATTATCATGGTAGCTATGTTGTATTCAGTCACCATCAACTCTGAGTTACAGACTCTTGGGCAACTGATCCTGGAATAAATCCAAGTTCAGATGCCTCTAAGTCACTGGCCACCACAGTACCAAAATATCACTTTGTTTTATATGCTTGTATGTCAATAATCTGATCCAGAATAAATCAGTGTTTACAGGGAAAGAAAGGAATAACTGAACAAAAAAGGATAGGGAATGATGAAATGGAGGGGGACACTAGTCTTGTTTTGTTTGTTTGTGTGATCCCTTTGACTCTTAGACCTATCAGTGTGATCAATTGTGAACTGACTAGTGTCTGCTAATACTAACTGACAGAATCAAAAAGGGAGAGAATGATCCAACATGGGAAGCGAGATACTCAGCAGACTCATAGAATGGCGAATGTCCTAAATAGCACTCTGGCCTCAGAATAAGACCTTAAGGCATTCGGATCTGGCTGAAAAGCCCATGAGAGTATTTTAGGCATGGAAAGCCAAGACACTCTGGGGGAAAAAAATTGAAGACCTAAATGAAAGATCTCTGTGAGTGAGATCCCAGTGGAAAGAATCGGCCATCAAAGAAGGAGGTACCTTTCTCTGAAGGGAGGAGGGAACTTCCACTTTGTCTATGACCCTGTCTGAATAAGATCGAAGTCAGCGAACTCAAAAGGCTTTCATAGCCTTGGAAACTCATGACTAGAGCCTAGGGAGATTACTGACGATAAACAAGAGTGTCAAATTGTTAAGTCAACAACAAGAGTCACTGTGTACTTACTCCTCATGTGGGATCTGTCCTTAATGTGTTGTGCAATGTGAAGTAATGCTATAACTAGTACTCAAATAGTATTTTACACTCTGTGTTTCTGTGTGGGTGCAAAATGATGAAATTTTTACTTAATATATACTATATCAATCTTCTATATATAAAGATAATTGAAAATTAATCTTGATGTGAATGGAATGGGAGAGGGATTGGGAGATGGGAGGGGTGCGAGTGGGAGGGAAGTTATGGGGGGGAGAAGCCATTGTAACCCATAAACTGTACTCTGGAAATTTATATTTACTAAATAAAAGTTAAAAAAAGAAAAATGGAGGGGGAAAAAAAGGAGAGAACTTAATGTGGGAGAACTCCAGTAGTCAACATATGGGGAAGAGAGCAGACATTCAAAAGAAGCATGAATCGAGAGATACATATAGGGGAGGAGGGAACAAATGTTAAAGATACCGAGAAAGTGGTCATTTTAAAGTGGCATGGGAGTAAAGGCTGTCAGGGAATATTTACCACATTGTCTCCGAAGTTCTGAAAAATAAGATGGAAAAACAAAATAAATATGCTTGCTGTGGGAAGCAAAGCTTAAGAAAATGCAAACTTACTGAAAATGCAAAATATGATATGGGAATAAGGGCTTCCAAGGAACATTTACCATTGTTTTCCATAAGATTTCCTAAAAAATAAAATGAAAAATAACAAAGTAGATATTATTGAGAACAAATTTAAAAGATCACTCAATTTATCATAAAAAGCAAATTTAGAACTCTCAGGATATTCACACACATATGCAGTGGCAAATAGTTTTTTTGTTGTTGTTTAAAAGTATAATGTAGCATAATATGAAATTTGGAGGGATGGAAAATATTTATAAACATTTTAGAAATGTAAATTATTATTATCCTATTAAATCACTATTGACTCCTTTTTATGTTATTTTGGCTTTTATTATTTGGTCTGCTAACTAATATGTTCTTTGACTTCCAGTAAATAGATAATGCAGATTATCATTATTGTAGTAGCTATGTTTTATTGAGTCACCACAAACACTGAATTGGAGAATCCTAAACCATTGTTCTTGAAGGAAATCTAGCTTTAGATTATTCTAAGCTTGTGTCACATTTATACCAATGGATCAATACAGAACTTGGTTTTTCTTTTCAATTAGTTTATTTACATAAAGAAAGCTGATTTCAAGTATTTCACCTACGCAGTTTAAGACCATAAAGACATTCTCCATACATCCTCCATACTTCCCTCACAGCTTTCCTCCTCCTTCCTTTCTTATTCTTCTTTTAAATTTTGCTATAACATGCTTTTAATCTATTTTATAATCACAAACTTGTCTTTCTGTGATAAGCATCTGGAATAAAGAGCCAGAGTTTATAGGAAATAAAAATGGCATCTAAAAGAAGAAAGACAATGGATAAAAGAAGAAAGGGAAACAGATGGGAGAGAAAGAAGGTAGAGAACTTAACATAGGAGAAGTCTAAGATTCAAAATATGAGGCAGAAAAGTAGACATTCAGGACAAATGGGAACCATGCTAATGAAGAGGAAGGGAGTGTCAAAGGGAAAAAGGCACCATGGTGCAGATCTAAGGGTTGTCAGAGAATATTCGCTAAGATTGTTTCTAAGATGCCTCTGAAAAATAAAAAGGACTAAGTGTTCTAAACCTCAGTGAAAAATCCCAGGATAAAGGACTCAAAAAGAAAATTAGTTTTACAATGAATATTTGATGTTATAAAATATAAATAAAAAAGAAAAGTTACTGGATATGGAAAGAGCAATGTGTCAGGCAAGAAGAGGTTCAATATATTTAGGAGTACTGGAGTAGTAGGATTAAAGGCAGAGTTACATTGAAACTTGAGCAATGAAGAATGTTGGTGAAAACATTTTAAAAGACTCACAAGAAAGAGGATGTTAATTCATCCTCTTTAGTTATGTTCTCTTCTGATTAAAGATTAGATTAGGATCATCTGCACAGAAGTGGATGCATTAAAAAATCCATGATAGATTCTCAGGGGACAGGAAGAGAGAAAACCACAGTGGAAATTGTACTGAAGGAAGAGGAATGCAGAGGATTGGTGTGGAAGGTGCAGATGGGCAACATGAACATGGACACAACAGCCGACCTCCACAAAAAGAGCCAGAAAAAGTGCCAGCATTGAAGAGTGAGATGAGGTCAGACTACAGTGGTCATTGCCACTGTAGATACAGCCAGAAGTAGAACATGGCATAAGTCTAGCCTGAAACCCTGAGGGGAATAGGTATCTGCAGACTCAGTTAAAAAAAAATGGCACATTTCTCTCTCACCACCACCACCCTACAAAGGCTCTTGGCAACAGCTGAGAGAGGACAAGCAACATTTTGGGCATAGGCAGCAACTGCAGAAACACTTGTGTGCATGCCCAACAACTATCCTTCTTGTCAGTAGTAAAAGCAACAACAGCTCAGGTGCATGCACCCTGCAACCAGCAGGGAGATAGCAACATTTGGCCAGAACCTCACCCTTGCATGGCATCCAGAATTTCTACCAAAGGGAGAAATTTGAATCTGACTTTGAATCTGACTGGAAGGATTGACAAGGGACTGGGCACCCATTTAGGATCTGAGTTGCCCCCAGCCTCTCAACATATAACAGACTCCAGGACACAAATTGCAAAAGTGGAGCACCCACGGACAGCTAGTTCAGGGAACATCTCTGCCTCTCTGTGGATGGGTCAGGCTAGTGGGGGTGGAATGGAAACTCTGCACTCCGTGACTGTGGGAGAATTATGTACTGAGACTGTGAGAAATCTGTGACTGCACAAGAGGGTGTAGCTGGGTCTGTGAGCAATCAGTATGAGTGGCTACACATGCTCAGAGCTCCCTGATTGCCAAGGGATTGGTCACTGCAAGGGGATCCATGCTGAGGACTGTACTGATTCTTCAGAACATAAGGCAGCATGGATTGCACCCACTGTGGGATAACACTGAGACATTGATCACCTTGGAAGAGAAGAGGTGAGAGGAGATCTATCATGCTCAACTACAGTGTCACCCTGGATACACACCCCACCCTGGAGCAATGACCAGAGCTCCCTGGCCACACCCAGCACACACCTCTGAGTATTCATTGAAAGAGCTGACACCACAATAAACCACAGAAGCATAGTTCAAAGATAAAGCCATCGGAATAAAAAGCCAACAAGTCTTTCAAAAAACACCTAAAAATAAATGCAGAAATACAAGAAACAAAAATAAGGAAGACAGCATTATCCCCCAAAGGAACACAGCAACACTTCAATATTAGGGTGTGAAGATGAAGAGATTCATGAAATGCCTGAAATACAATTAAAAAGATTAATCACAGGACTACTCAGAAGAAATGAGAAGCAAATTCACAAATTAAAGAAATTCATACATGACATGAATAAAAAATTCTCCCATGAAATTGAGATTTTGAAGAGAAATCACAATGAAATATATTAGAAATGAAGACTTAAATATGTCTAATAAAAATATAGTGGAAATCCTTAACAACAGACTTGGTGAGGTAAAATAAAGAATATTCAAGCTAGAAGGCAAATCTCTGTAAATTTTTCAGTCAGACCAAACAAAAGAAGAAATGGAAAACTTAAAAAACAGTGTTGGAGATCAATGGGATACTATCAAATGACCCAACATACGGGTCTTTGGAGTTCCTGAATGTGAGGAAAGAGAGAATAGATTAGAAGGGGCCTATTCAGTGAAATAATTTAGAAAATATTCCTAATTTGGAGAGAGGCAGGAATGTCCAAGTAAAGGAAGCACATAGAACACAGAAAACATCTTCACCATGATATTGTAGTTTAACTTTCAACAGTAAAACTTAAAGAAAATA